GTTGCTTGGGCCAAAGGTCCAACCAAACACAATGAAATGTTTCTCACTTTTTTGGGCCATGTGTACTTTGCTTAAGCCTTCAAGAACCCAAAGCCCTACGAACGAGCCGATGGCTCAGTGGAGCACCTGCGACCTGTGTTCAAAGCCTGCTCGACATAGGTTTTTCACCAGGGTCTTTTCTTATTTTCGTTGCAGCTTCAAACACGGATGTCCACAATAGTTAAGGTGTTAGTTCTGTCACATTTGATGTCCAATGATCTTTGAATACCTTTCAACCATGTGTGTGTCTTTAGATATAGGTGTAGGTCTAATTTGTAATTATGTGTGTGCATGTGGTGTAAATTTGTGTATAAGTTTAGCCCAATGAGAGAGGGACGGATGTTGAATGTGTGTGTGTGGGTGTGGGGGGATCACCCCCCAACATTTATATGCCCCCTAATACACCTCCTCAATTAGCTACTTTATATTCTAATTTGCAAATTAATAATGGTACTTGTGAGTTTAAAAAAATAGTGCTACTTGTGCTTTTATTTTTATCCTTATTAATCTCTTATATCATCTTATATAATTAAGAATTAGTCTTCCTATTGTTTTCTCCATCTCTTTTGTTCATTCTATTATTGCTTACCTAACGTCCAGTTCATCCTACGGTACATTCTCTAATCGTCTTATATAGTTATAAATTAGTCTTCCTATTATTTTCTCCATCTCTTTTGTTCTTTTTATCATTATCTACTCCATCCGTTTCAAATTATAAGATGTTTTAGCATTTCTAAATACATAATTTTTGCTATACACTTAGATATACACTATGTCTAGATACATATCAAAATAATATATCTAGAAAAGACAAAACGTCTTATAATTTGGAACAGATGGATCACGAAACATCTAGTTCATCCCTAGAGTACACCCTCTAATTAGGTAGTTAAATGTAATTAGTGCTTTATTGTTTACTCTCCCCCAAATTAATCTTCATTAACTTATATTATTTGGGATTAGTATTCCTGATCTTCTTTGTTTTTGTTATTATCATCATTTTATTTTCTAAGAATTAGATTGATCGGGTAAACGGTTACCGACCTAGGGCTATTAATTCAGTTCATTTTTTCTCTGAAATATTCAATGTTTTTTTACTTTTTATTTTCCTTTTTATATTGTAACATAAATATTTATTTAGTTAGTATGTATAGTTTTGTTGTGCATGTATTTTATCGTGCATGATTATTGTCAATTTAAATTCTTTTTCTACTTCTAAATTGTAGCTCCATCCTTGTAGGTACCACAACTTGTAAAGTATTGGGGCATAAAAAACGATAATGATATGCCTCGAGTGGACAGACGGACCCTCATTCCCACACGCTTGGATCCATTCTTATCTTCTGCGGCACGGAGAGAAACATCCCATCTGCGGCACGGGGAGAAATAGCCCATCTGCGACAAGCTTGATGTGGAACCTAGGGGCAAAGGTTGCAACGGCCACGTCGGTGAGCTCCGCTCGCACTTCGCACTGCCATCAACGAGCAGCCTGTTCGGTTGGCTGGTTCGTATCGTTGCTGGTTCGTGAAGAAGTACTGCTGGTTGGTTTGTGTGAGAGAAAAATATTGTTCCGGCTGAAAATTTACGATCGTATACGACAAGCACAAGCCAAACAAACAGGCTAGAGCTCCACGTGCGTGACGCCACTGCCAACCTCCACGACAAACGCTCTAGCAACAGGCGAGGGGAGGAGCTCTGTGCACCGCCGCCGTGCTAGCAAGCTTGATGCACCGCTGCTGCACTAGCCTCCACTAGCCTATCGCCGCTATCGAGCTCTGCATGCCGGCGAGCATCCACTTGCCCAAGCATCAAGATGTTGCAATTGCTATATAAACATGTTTCAGATGTGTGTTGTATATGTTGCAGATGGGGAAAGGGCACGGCGGAGACCGAGCACGACAGAGGATAGGGCAGCGCGGCGGAGGAAGGGGCCTGGCGGAGACAGGATGCTACGTGGTGACACAGGCGTGACGTGGACGTGACCCGCGGGGTGACGCGGGTGCGACAGGCGCACTCCTATTTCTGTTACGCGGGACAGGACGGGACGTTGTAGGTGCGCTCGAACGGCACGTGCGTCTATCAAAAAAAAAACCCAAAGCCCTCTCGCTGCCCTAGCAACACTGGACACCACAGGACGGGAAAGCCGCACGCGGATCCCCGAGGGCCGCGGGACCCAGTCTGCTGGCGGGTAGTTGCGTCCCGCGCGCGCCTCAATAACGGCCTTGGAAGGTCTCCGTTAGCCGCCGTTGCCGCCGCGCGCCACGCAACTGACCACTCACGCCACCCTCCCCGACCAGGGCCCCAGGGCCCAGACGCCACCCACCCTCCTCTTCGCGTCGCGGCCTCGCGGGACGTCCCGTCGCCGCTCCCAAAGCAGCAAGCAGGTCACGCATCTGCCATTCCCGAGCCGGCCCACCGCTTCTGGGGGTCCGTGCCTGACTGCCTGCCCCCCATTACTACTGCTTTTCCTATGCATCCGGCATCTCTCTGTTTCTGTTTCTTTCTTTCTCTCTCTCCACCTTTTCCTCTCGACTCTCGCTCTCCCCACCTACTACCCAGAATAGAGAACGGCATCACCGTCTTTTTCATTTGTTCCTATCCAATCCGTGGCCGCACCGGCACCGCCCACCGCGCCCAGCCCAGTCTACGTACTCAGCCAGTCCTGGCGTGTCGGGTAGCCGCGCTAGAGTGATAAGGTCGACAGCTCATGGGCGTGCCTTGGGCGCCGGGCCTAGGCCCCCGTGCACCGCCGGTCAGTCCGAATCTTTGGTCCAGTGCATTTAATCCTGTGTCCAAAGTTTACTGTAACAACGTTTCCATGCCAGGACGACCCACGGACGGAGGGAGTACGTACGTATTTGGAACCCGGACAAATATCGTATTCCTATCATTTTTTAAAAAATTCTGCATGGACTGTTGTACGAACACAGTCATAGAGTAGCGTGTCTTAGAAACTACTCCCTCTGTCCCTTTTAGTTGTTGTACCTTTTGAGGAGGTGCAGCATAAAACCTGTGAATGTGGATAAAGAGATGGTCCAGATGCAGAAGGTGTGAACGTGGACAGAGCTGAAGTGTGCCAGAGCGACAATCAATACGGGACCGAGGGAGTAACTTTGTTCGCTTAAACTTATCAGCCTGGCTTATTAGTTATGTAACAATATTTTTTCTCATAACAAATCAGCTTCCGCTGGCTTATTAGCCCCATAAATCATCGGCCGAACATAGCCGTATCTTATATGATTCCTACTATTCTAAAAGTCCTGCATGTGAATGTTGCAGGAACACAGTCCTATAGCAGTGTGTGCCTCAGAAAATAAGATCCTATATGATATGATATAATATAATATGATTTATGTATTTCAAACTATCATAAAACTTTACTCTTAAAAATTCTAAATAAATAGTTTAAATTGTTATCTAAAGTTTAACTAACCTCATATATGTATAAATCATCAATTCAAGTGGACGAACAAGCTAATAGCTTGGTGGTTAGAACCCCATCGTGGGAAGCAACCTGTCGAGAGTTCGACTCCCCACCTCACATGCGCAAGAGTTATGTTTTTTTTTTAAAAAATCTCTCATCTGGCCTACGTCAAAGCCAGGTCTAAACACCGATCTAGGGTCTCACATAGTCAACGGGGTCTAGGGTCTCACAAAGTCAACAGTGCCATTGTGCATTAGTGAGGTGTCACATAGTCAACGGTGCCGTTGTGCATTAGTGAGGAAGGGAGTTGAAGGTTTTCTTGACCTCCTATGAGAATGTTCCTTCTATCGTAAAGTCAACGGTGCCATTGTGCATTAGTGAGGTCTCACATAGTCAACGGTGCCGTTGTGCATCAGTGAGGAAGGGAGTTGAAGGTTTTCTAATGTTCCTTCTATCGTAGAGAAAGTATAATATGAGGCTTTTAGTAGGCTGTATACTGTGAGACGGAGGATAAAAAAGTTGTTGTTTTTAATACGAGTACATTGGTGCACACAGCAGCAGCACGGCCAACGTACTCGTAGTAAAAAAAATGGTTGTAGGTTTTTTTTTTCTCCAAAGGTTCTGTTCGCTTGTTTTATAATATGTACTTTTCAGTTTGTTTTTTTAGGCAAAACAGTGTTTTTCTCTTACGGCGAATCAGCCGAAACAGTGTTTCGGTTTATTTTTTCAACGAAACCAACGGGGCCTAAAGAAACGATTCAGCTGCTCGCCTGCTCCGGATTTTCATCGTGCTTCAGCTAAGGACGTGTGGACTTTGTCGGCTCGCAGTTGTAGGTTGCGCAATACGGCAAAACAGGTACTGCGTCAGTACGTAGCACCATACGACACGTTCCGAACCCGGGCTACGACGAGCGGACGCGCCACCTCCTCAGAAGCGACGAGTCACGAGGCGTGCGACGGTACGTGCCGTGGTGGGCCTGTCCTGTCCTCTGGCGCAAAGCGGTGGTAGCTTGGGATGCCTCTGCGCCACTTCATGACCACGATGCAGGCGGCAGGCCCCTACTGAGCGCCGGTGCGGTGCAGCCTTTTGCAGTGGACGTACGACGAGAATTTCTAGTCACGAGCGGTCGCTGTGCACGTAACACTGCAGTTTCGACAGAAGCCCATTCCCTGCAACTTTTTTACCGTGCCGGTTCCATAGTTCCATTGCCCTTCAAGCCCATTAAGGCGTACGGAATCACCACTTTTCCTCTTCAGCGTAAGCAATCCATGAAGACTTCAGTGCCAATACGCATACACAATCGACCGGACAATGTTCTATGTCAGCCTCGACTTCAGTGCCAATACGCATACACAATCGACTGGACAATGTTCTATGCCAGCCTCGACCGCGAACCCTCGTATCTTTTACAACAAAAATCAAGCATAAACATGCAACAATATAACAGAGCTATGATATTTATTTCTGAATGAAACTAGTTTATAACTCTCATGTGCACCGTTCCTAGTAGAACTGACCTCTCGGACCGGCTGTATATCAAGAAAGGCAATACACAATTCGATCGGCTAGCTCCTTCCCAACAACCTTGACGTATCTGCTCAGTTGCCCTTCTAGCGCATTGAGGTGTCGCCTCTCTATTGGCCCAAACACTTGCTGAAGGCCCTGTAAGGGAGAGAGTTAACAAAACAGATCGTGCAGAAATCCAAACCAGAGAATAAAATCAAAATTTTCTAGTCACAGATTACATGGTTTTACAAATTATGTGTGCAGATAATTGTTAAATCTTTTATACATGTTCTTTAGGGCAGACTAATGGAGAAATGGATGATTAATGACAGAAAAGGCTGGCAAATTTCCTGATAACTACAAAAGCAAATTTAGTGCCCACTGACGATGTGCCCCTATTTCTGTGCACAGATCGCATAGGATCATTACCATCTTCCGATTTGAGGTCAGATTTTGTGTATGTACCTTAAATTTAACCCGCGAGCCATTCAGGTCCAGGGTGATGTTTTTTATGTCATATATGTTGGAACCGCCTTCAGCTGTATCAGGCTTTTCTGAATGAATTATCTCTTCATCGACCATCATATCTGATTCATAGTCGTTGAAATCTTCATCGTCGTCCTCATCGCTGGGAGACTCGTGGTGGTCGACTTTTGCTGAAGAGTCATCAGAGGGACCACAAATCTGAGGCTGGGGCACTTCACCTTGCATTGTAGCATAATCAGATAGAATGGAATATTGACTGGTATCCAGTAGAGGCTTGGCTAAATCATAGCGAACCCACCTGCAATGTTGAGAATTAGAAGTAGAAGAATGAAAGCATGAAATTTAATGGTTAAATAGCATCAAGTTTTGCATAAAAGCCTGTGACTTGAGTAGCTGGGAATAGAAACATAAAAATAGCTAACCAATAATCTCAACAGTCAAGCTTCAGGTAAACTTTTTAACCAGATGAAAGTATGCTTTCAACGTTTCACTAATCCGTTATCTGAAGGCAGTGACAAGTGACAGCAGCAGTCTCCTACAAATTACTACTACTCTAGAACAAGAAGCAATAACCTTATTAAAAGAAGACACCAAAAAATATCCATTTCAACCACATTAGTAAGCATACAGCATACCAGGACATAACTCAGTGTGCCTCCTTTAACTTCAACATGTAAAGTTTGACTATTGTTACGTTCAGTCGTTCACATTATACAAGGTTATGTATTGCAAATTATAGTGGCAGAGCGAAAGAAAATTACTCGTAACGGACTGGACATAGAAGTTCTGAAGGTCGATATGCAGCTTTGTATCTCATCTTATTGCAAGAATGTATATAGTAACCGAGATAGTAGTACTGAAGGCTGGGACAGTGCTCCTGTGTCGTCTTGACCCAATCTATCTCCTTCAGAGCTGTATACTTTCCAAGAGATAGGAAAGAAAGGTCAGGATCCCAGAACAAGTACTTGCTTGACAAACACTTAGGAAGGATATCAACTACACCAACAGCCACAAGTTTTCCATCAATTCTGTACTGCTGATGAAAAGACCCAAACCCGCACGGTGGAACTGTATTATCACCACTCTTTGGGGGGACAAACACGATTGGTGTGTCTACTAGAAATCTCTTGTATGAGCTTTCCGTAACTGTCTTCTCCTTATGCACCTTTGTCTGATACCTCTGGTACAGAGCAAACTCCTCAGGATCAAAATGAGATGTGCTCAACCTAATGTCCAGGATTTTTCTTTTCAGAGGATATTTCGCATTAGTTTTGTTCACAGAGCTTTGCTTTGAACCACTAGACTTGTCTGAAGCTTGCACAGGTACAACAACGCTGGTATGGTTCTGCATTGCCTGATTGGTGGCCAAATAGAAATTAAGATGCCCATTACAAGCTTTTACTTCAAAACCAGCTAGTCCTCCAAGACGTTCCATTGCCATGGATAGCTTTTCTGCAACAGAATTTGGAGAAAGATCTGCTAGTACTTCAGTTTGATTAGCACCATTTTCTTTAGGCAATGCACGTCTAACTGCTGCCACTATTTGGAAACTTATATTGCACGTATAAACCAAATCTTGCACTGCTTCTCCGACTTTCTTTTCTTGTACTGCTTCTCCTACTTTCCTTTTGACTTGAGGTTTAACAGTCTTCAAAACAGCTTTGGGGAGTGGAACAGAACCCAATACCCCCCCTTGGAAGCATGTATCTGTGGCCTCATTGATTCTGCTTGCCAGGCAACAAGTGACGTCATCTTCTTTCGATATATTTGGACACGTGCCTGCTCGAAACTCTTTTGCTGATACCTTTGATACTTTCGAGGTTGGTGAATTCAGAGGTTCACCAAGTGAGCGCTTTGTTGGACTTGCCTTACACTGGGGACTTCCAATCTGTGGATCGAGCTCACCATCAAGGAACCTGCACATGGATGGGTTGAAAAACACAACACAGGACAGTTTAAGGAGTTTATTATAAACTTGGCAGGGCATATGAATCAAAATGAACAGAATTACCTCTGCATCTTTTTAAGTACACGAGCTTGCTCTTTGGAACAAATGAAATCATTTGCCTTCAAGCGTATCGTATATGAGGGACAGCATGTCCGTTCCATCTCAGGTTTGTAAACAAAACAACCAGATCTCCTCCAACCACGATCAAGAAGAGCTGTAAAATTTGCAATTACGATCACAAGTCAGAGTCATGCCATCTAAGCTAAAGTGCCTTTTATTCACTTTGGGAAAAATATGGAATAACAAATATTATGGGTTGGAACCTGAAGTACTTAGTAAACTACAGCACCAACAAGTTGTTCCACTTCAGTTAAACTCCCTCTTTCTGTTAACCCTCTAGTTAAATTTGTATTTCAGAAGTGCACTCTTTTTTGTTCTCAATAAACTTATTTTTCAGGATGCAGATTTTCACTGTTCCAAATTGCTGGATGTGGCAGTTTTCCTCGAATGTGCTGCAATTGTCATACCTTTGTTTTTAATAAATCCAATTTGACATCTCAAACTATTGTATTACACATGTTAAAGTTGGGTTACATTTAGGGATGCAAATGGTTATCCAATGGTGCCTGAGTAAGCTAATTAATCCAATGGTGCCTGAGTAAGCTAACTAATTACGGTGGCATTAATGCCATTTTAGTTCATTTAGCAAGTCTTGAGTGGTCCTAATGACCCAGAGCAAGTGGAGCTTGCATCTCTAGTTACATTTGTCTTCTCCAGTATGTGAAGTGAAATAGTCAAAAGCGAACGATCAGGTACATCGTAGTTTGCCTAGTCAGTCGACCAGTCAACTACTTACGACTAGTCAGCCCTTTCTAGGCCTTGTTTAGTTCGCGGTTAGGAATCAGTATTTGACACTGTAGCACTTTCGTTTGTATTTGACAATTATTGTCCAATCATGGCCTAACTAGGCTCAAAAGATTTGTCTCGTAATTTACAATCAAACTGTGTAATTAGTTATTTTTTTTATCTACATTTAATACTCCATGCATGTGTCCAAAGATTTGATGTGATGGAGAGAGAGTGAAAAAACTTGGAATGTAAACAAGGCCCTAGTTGAACTACTTGCTGCTGACAGGCTGACGGCAACTTGGGCTCCAGCCCAGTAGTATTCAAGGCCCATCCCATACCACCACATGTCCACATCCTATATATACTAAGACAGGCTCCTCTGGCTTTGACCTAGCTGCCAGCTGAAATGAGCACAAGCAGGAAACAGAAAAATCCTTCGACCTGAGCATGAAGCCTACTGGGATAGCCTATTGGCTAGGCAATAGTGCAATACCCTGCCCTGAGCCGACTAGTCAATGCCTAGTCACGATTTACAATTAAACTGCAATTGCCTTCCACTGGGTGAACATTATATTGCAGTATGTTGCACTTTTGAAACCTGTACCACGCAACAAGAAAATAGCAACAAAAATAAAAGGACTTAATCTATGCACATCCTGGATCTAGCAAGAAACCATAAGCCCCAATCGAAGTTAAATTTATTCGCTATCTTGTTGGAAAACCACATTTCAATCAACAAGTTAGCATGAAACTCCATGAGCTGACAGAACATGTTGTAGGTCCCAAATCCCACCACAGGAACTGGAAAATCCCTGAGGCTAACAGAACATGTTGGAAATTGGGATCGGTTGACTGCAGAAAATAACTAAGGAAAAAGTGAAAGAGATTGGGATTGGATTGAGAATTGGCTAGTGACTGTTAGATATAGATGTATATGTGTCTGTGTACTTTCCTCTTTGTGTAAGGGCTTCTATGCATATATGCCCATGTACATGTTTGGGCTGAAGCCTACCGAATGGATAGAGTTCATTCTCTCCCAACACGGTATCCAGAGCCGGTGTCTAGGTTTACCTCGCTGCCGTTGCAGGTGTCGCCGCATCGTTGCCGCCATGAGTGCCCCCTCTCGCTCCTCCTCAGTCGCCTTGCACGCCGTCTCACCATCAAGATCCATCCATCACCTGCGCTTCGCTACTACCTGCTGCTGCTTCTCTTCTTCCGTCGCTGTCGCACCGTCTGTCCGCGTCCGCGCTACTGCGTGCGCCACAGCCTGCTAGTGCTGCCGGGCGCTGCCGAAGGCGCGCTGACGTCGTCGTCGACCCTCGGCCGTCGGGCGGCTGCACGTCGCGCGTCGCTCGCTTCGCTCGACTTCTTTGCGGGCTGGCAGCTGCTGCCTCCGGTGGACGCCAGAACTCCCCAGCTGCCGCCGCTGCCCCCCCCACGCCGGCGCGCAGCCTTTCTGGTTGATTTCACCTGCTCGCTTCGCTTCGCTGGGGAAGCCGGCGCGATCCTCAACAAGGGAGGGCGACTTGGAGCGAGGAGAGCTCCTTTTTTTTTTGCATTTGGTTTGGTTGTGAAGGCGGACTGGTGCAAGCGGTAGAGTCTTACTGCTGTGGACCTAAGGTCCCGGTTCGAAGTCGCGGTCTCCTCGCATTGCACAAGCGCGAGGGTAAGGCTTGCCAATGACATCCTTCCCCAGACACCGCACAGAGCGCGAGCTTTCTGCACTGGGTACGCATTTGGTTTGGTTGTCTCTTTGCACTCTGAACTAGGATGGCTTCAAGTTCGGATCCTCAACCGATTCTTTGGTTGGCATTCTCGATCTAGTGGGGTTGATTCCACGATGTCCAAAGTGATTTTCAATGGCACTAATTATCGTGTTTGGGTTTCTCGCATGTGTTGGCATATGTGTGTCTCTGCTTTGGGATTTTCTCACCGGTGAACTACCGTGTCCACCTTTACCCACTCCTCCCTGCAAACACCATCTTTCCTCCCCGCAACTTCAGATGATGATAAGAAGAAATTGCGTGATGAATATAATGATGATATGGCCTCCTACATGTCTCTCAATTTGCGACATATCGGACTTGGTTGGATGAGGATGCTCGTGCAGTGCTGTTCTAACTGCTAGCATGGAGGAACATTTGACCGCCGATATTGTAGAGCTTGACTATGCTTCTCGGATGTGGGTTTTTCTTCGCCAAATTATATGAGCCCTCCGGTCACCCACATACATTGCGGCTTTACGCCAAGAGCAGTTGTTGCAACAGGTGATGCTACAATTGAGGAGTTCTTTAACCAGCTCTCTAGTGTGTGGCGTGAACTTGACACTCTGAGTCCTCAACTGTCCCCTGCCACTTGTGAGTCTTGCAGGAAGCAACAGAGCCACCTTGAGCTTCGGCGCACCTACGATTTTTTGACTCATCTTCGTGCTGAGTTTGAGCCTCTTCGTGCTCAGTTACTAGCTTGTGAACCCTGTGTGTCCCTGATGGATGCTCTTGCTGCTGTTAATAAGCTTTAGAACCTTGCTGCAGTCAGCTGCCTCGATGGATGTTCTTGCTGCACCTCCATCCATGACAACTCGGGCGCCTACACCCCTCCCTACAGCACCTTCGTCAGCGGTGTCCTCCTCTAGGAGTGGTAGTACTGGTGGACTTCACTGCAATTAGTGTGAAAAAGATGGACATGTTGAAGATTATTGTTATAAGAGAGGAAGGAGAAGGCTCATTCACGCCGAGGTGGTCATTCCTCACAGGGTTCTGATCGTTCTACTGCTGGACCCTCTTCGAGTAGCTTGGCTGGTTCTGAGACACAAGAGATACTCATGTTGCTTCGTCGGCTAGCTCCCTCTGTGCCTGCTGGAGCTGCTGGTTCTGTCACCCCAGTCTCTGCACCTTCGGTTTCTGCTGCTGCCTCACAGTCTTCCACTGGGGAACCACCGTTCACTTCAGGTACTTTGCCATGGATTCTTGATTCCGGTGCTTCTTTTCACATGACATCTGATTCTACCAGTCTTTCTTCCATTCGTCCTCTTTCTACTTCTATCACTGTTCAAACCGCCGATGGCTCACCTCTCCCTGTTCTTGGACATGGCACTCTTTTGTCATCCTCTTTTCACGTTCCTACTGTTTTATGTCCCTAATTTGACCGTGCAGCTTATTTCCGCTGGCCAGCTCACTGATCATGGTTGTCGTGTTATTTTTTGGTACCGGCCCTCGCCGCCATGATTCTCAACGTCTTTGGGAACTTGACTGGCTTCGTCTTCCTTCCGCTACCTCTGCCAGTCTTGTGGGCTCTGCTTCTGCATCGGCTTCTTCATCTTTTGATCAGTGGCATCATCGATTGGGACATTTATGTGGTTCCCGGTTATCCACTCTTGTCCGTCGTGGTCTTTTGGGAAATGTCTCTGGTGATGTTTCTTTAGATCAGTGTTAGGGTTGTAAGCTTGGCAAACAGCTCCAACTTCCATATCCCTCTAGTGGGTTAGTGTCACAGCGTCCCTTTGACCTTGTTCATTCTGATGTATGGGGCTCACACCCTTCGTTTCAAAAGGGAGTCATCAATATTATGTCATATTTATCGATGATTTCTCTCGCTTCACATGGGTGTATTTTATGAAACATCGTAATGAGGTGTTATCCATATATAAGATATTTGCTCAGATGATTCGTACTCAATTTGACACTCCTATTCGTGTTTTTCGTGCTGACTCTGCTGGGGAGTATCTCTCGGGCGCTTTTCGCCAATTTCTTTCTGAGCAGGGCACTCTTTCTCAGTTTTCTTGTCCTGGTGCGCACACTCAAAATGGTGTTGCTGAGCGTAAGCATCGCCACCTTCTTGAAACTGCTCGTGCCCTTATGATTGCTTCCTCTGTTCCACCTCATTTCTGGGCTGATGCGATATCTACTGCCACTTATTTAACTAACATTCATCCTTCATCTGCTCTTCAAGGCGGAAGCCCATATGAGCGCCTCTGTGGCAAGCCACCAGATTACTCCAGTCTTCGCCTTTTTGGGTGTCTTTGCTATGTCCTTCTTGCTCCTCGTGAACGCACTAAGCTGACATCTCAGTCTGTTGAGTGTGTTTTCCTGGGCTATAGTGCTGAACACAAGGGATATCGTTGTTGGGACCCTGTTGCTCGTCATATGCGGATTTCTAGGGACGTTACTTTTGACGAGTCTCGTCCATTCTATCCTCGGCCTACCTCTGATGTTTCTTCCTAGGCCGTTGTTGAGCCTCTTTCCTTCTTGATTTTTTCTGATACACCTCTCCACTGTATTTCTTCCTCCTCCACCATCTCCTCTTGCACCCTCTCCTTCGCTGCCTTCTAAGCCGCTGAAAGCATCTAGACCCCTAGTTGAGTTTCGGTGATTAATGACAATACAAGATTACTATAACTAACATGTGTTTTGCAGAGGCATTTAAGTTAGGTCATAGTAATGGAGATCGATTGGGCAATCATGGTGGTCATGCCCCTACGATGGAAATCATTTCGTTTTTCAAAGGATGGACGACAAGGTCAAGGATGGACTAGTTCTAAGTGTCAATTGGAGTTGGAGAGACACTTAGACTAGTTTATGACTTTGTCTTTCCTTTGGCCATACTATTAAGGGGTTATGAACGGGTAGCTTGACCTAGGTGAGTCTAGTGAGTTAGGTGTGGTGCACACTTGTTAAAACTAGCACTAGGTAGCTCCAAAATAGCTCTTAGATCCAATGGAGCAAACTTCATTCACATATGATCGAGAGTTAGAAGTAAATGGAGGGTCAAATACTGACCGGACGCTGGTTCCGGGTTGATCGGACGCTGGCGCAGAGTCCGGTCAGTTCATTTGACCAAGGTGATTGCGTCTGGTTTGACCGGACGCTGAGAGGTGAAGTGACCGGACGCTGAGAGCCTGCGTCCGGTCGACTCCAGTAAGGTTCCAGAGAGGGAAAATTGCGACCAGACGCGTCCGGTCAGTGCTGATCGGACGCTGCCCAGCGTCCGGTAACACTGTAAACACTGGAGTTCGGGGTGTACTGACCGGAGCGTCCGGTCACCCCGCAGAGGCACATAACGGTTCGTTTTTCAGCCCACGTTATAAATACTCCCTCCACTCGTGTGTGGGGGTTCTTTTACTCATTCCAACAGCTGAAAAACATGTTTGAAAGTGACAAGAAGAGCAAGGTCCTAGTGAGGTGATTGAGATTTGAGAATTCCAAAGAGAGCCCTCATTAGTGAGATCAAGAGTAGCAAAGTGTGCATCCACCCATCTCATTAGGCTTGTCGTGGTCAAGTGAGAGTTCGTGCTTGTTACTCTTGGTGATCGCCGTCACCTAGACGGCTTGGTAGTGATTGAGAGCTTGGTGATCATCCGAAGAGCTTATGGATGACCCAACTCGAGTTGTGAGCGGTTGTGGGTGATTCACCGCGACGGAGTGTCGAAAAATCAACCCGTAGAGAGCACTTGATCCTTGCGCGGATCAAGGGGGAGCTACACCCTTGCGCGGGTGCTCCAACGAGGACTAGTGGGGAGTGACGACTCTCCGATACCTCGGCAAAACATCGCCGCGTTTCCTCTCCTCTATTTACTTTGAGCATTTACTTTAAGCAATTCAATTCTTGTTTTTACATTCATATAAAATTGCCATGCTAGAGTAGGATTGAAACTTAGGTTGCAAGTCTTTTGGGCGTTAGTTCAATAGAAACACTTTCTAGGCACAAGGGGTTAATTGGACAAACCGTAGGACTTAATTATTGTAAAGAAAATTAGAATTAGCCCAATTCACCCCCCTCTTGGTCATCTTGATCCTTTCAATTGGTATCAGGGCCTCGTGCTCACGTATTTAGGCTTAACCGCCTAGAGAAAGATGTCTCACGGGGATGGACCTCCTCCTATCTTTGAGGGGGGCGATTTTCCTTATTGGAAAATTTGTATGGAGGCGTATTTAGAAGCTCTAGATGTTGGAATACTTAGAGCCGCCTCGCAAGGCTTCCCAAAACCTAAGGATCCCACACACCCACAAGGCGATGAGGTGAATAATGAAAATTGATATGCAAAGGCTCGCAACACCATCTTTAGAGGCCTTTGCAAAGATGTGTTCAATCGGGTGAGGAACCACAAAAACGCCCATGCACTGTGGTCGGACGTTTGTGCGCTCCATGAGGGAACAAAGAGTGAGCGTGAGGAAC